TTATTCTAGGTTATAGTTTAAATCCGTTGTTTCTTTGTTGACTTTCTGTCTTGATGACCTGTCTAGTGCCATCAGAGGAGTACCGAATCTCCCACTATTATTGTGTTGCTATCTATCTCATTTCTTAGGTCTATTAGTAATTATTTTATATATTTGGGAACTCAAGTGTTAAGTGCATATATATTCAGAGCTGTGATACTTTCCTGTTGGGACTACTCCTTGTATCATTACATAGTGTCCTTCTTTCCTTTAACTGTTGTTGCTTTAAAGTCTGCTTTTTTTCTGATATAAAAATACCTACTCCTACTTGCTTTTGGTTTCCATTTACATGAAATAGCATTTTCCACTCCCTTACCTTAAATTTATGTGAGTCCATGTGTGCTAGGTAACTCTATTGAAGGCCGCAGATACTTGGTTCGTACCTTTTTATCCATTCTGCCATTGTGCATTTTTTTTAAGTGGAGCATTTAGGTCATTTACATTCAAAATCAGTATTGAAATGTGAGGTACTGTTCTATTCATCATGCTGGTTTTTGCCTAAATACCTTGTTATTTTGCCATTGTATTACTGTTTTATAGGTCTGGTGCAATTTATGCTTTAACGGGGTTCTATTTTGGTGTATTTTGAAGTTTTGTTTCAAGATTTAGGACTCCTTTAAGCATTTCTTGTAGTGCTGGCTCAGTAGTGGCAAATTCAGCATTTGTCGAAAAAGATTCTCTTTCTTTCATTTACGAAGCTCAGTTTTACTGGATACAAAATTATTGGCTGAGAATCATTTTGTGTCAAGTGGTTGAAAATGGGAATCCAATCCCTTCTGGATTCTGGCTTGCTGAGAAGTCTGCTGTTAATCTGATTGGTTTTCCTTTATAGGTTATCTGATGTTTTTGTCTCACAAGATTCTTTATTTCATCTTGACTTTAGATAGCCTGACAAATATGTGCCTAGGTGATCATCTTTTTGCAATAAATTTCCCAGGTGTTCTTTGAGCTTCTTGTATTTGGATGTCTAGATCTTTAGCAAGGCTAGCGAAGTTTTCCTCAATTATTCCCTCAAGTAAGTTTTCCAAACTTTTAGATTTCTCTTCTTTCATAGGAACAGCAATTATTCTTAGGTGAGGCCATTTAACATAATACCAAATTTCTTCAAGGCTTAATTCATTTTTAAAAAATTATTTTTGTCTGATTCAGTTAATTCAAGAGCCTTGTCTTCAAGCTCTGAAGTTCTTTCTTCTACTTGTTCTAGTCTACTGTTGAAGTTGTGCCATTTTGTATGTCTCTAAGCGTGTCTTTCATTTCCAGAAGCTCTGATTGTTTTTTCTTTATATGTATTTCTCTGGAGAAGTTTTCATCCATATCCTGTATTGTTTTTTTAAAATTTCTTTTTGTTGGTTTTCACTTCGAATAGCTTAATAATCAGGTTTCTGAATTCTTTATCTGGCAATTCAGAGATTTCTTCTTGGTTTGGATACATTACTAAGGAGCTGCTGTGATCTTTTGGGGGTTTTACAGAACCTGTTTTGTCGTATTACCAGAAATGTTTTTCTGGTTGTCATTTTGGTAGACTATTTCACTGGAGAGGTCTGAAACTCAAGGTCTGCTGTTCAGTTTCTCTTGTCCCATGCAGCGATCCCTTGTGGTGCTCTCCCTTTCCCCTAGGGATGGGGCTTCCTGACAGCCGGACTGCAGTGACTGTAACTGCTCTTCTGGGTCTAGCCACCCATTGGGGGTACCAGGCTCTAGGCTGGTGCTAGGGGATGTCTGCAATGAGTCCTGCAATATGATCCATCTTCAGGTCTCCAAGCTGTGGCTACCAGCACCTGCTCTGGTAGAGATGGCAGGGAAGCGAAGTAAACTCTGCAAGAGTCACTGGTTGTAGAAATGTTTAGTGTGCTGGCTCTCTTGAATGCTGCTTATGTTAGCAGTGAAGTTGTCATGTGGACACACTCAGGACCTCTGGTTACCCAGGATGTTGCAGCCAGTGCAATTACGTCTTGTCTTCTCCTTCCTGGGATCAGAGTTATTCTTTCATGAGTTGCTGTAATGGCCTGAGTTGACTGGCCTCCAGCCAGGAGGTGGTACTTTCAAGACAGCACCAGCTACAGTAGTAGCAATGGGCTCTAAGCTTGACCTAAAATGTGCAAGGTAACTATTTTGGTTTCTTGGGCAATAGGCAGGGCCATAAAGCTCTAAAGAGTTTCTGTGTTTTGAGTTCAGCTATCAGGGCAGGTAGGGAGTTACCATCACGTGGCAGCAGGGTTAGGTGGGTCTGGGCTCAGACTCTTCTTGGGCAGGTCTTGCTGCATCTACTGTGGGAATTGGGGGGTGGGGGTGGTTTGTCAGGCCAACGTGTTTATGTTCCAGAGGGGATCTTGGCTGCTTCTGCTTTATCATATATTTCGCCAGGGTAGTGGGGGATATCCAGCAGCAAGAGGCCTCACCCAGCCACCATGCAGTTGGTGAGGCTAGTCTCACTCCCAGGGTGCACTGTTCAGACCTTGCCCCAGGCTGTGAGCTACTCCACTGAGAAAGCAAGCATGGCTTTTGACCTTACCCTTTCCCATTTGCCTACACCACTGGCAGAAGCTCCTGCTAGTCCACCCAAGAAAATTTGTGCCCAGCTGAAACCACTAAAATTTCACTCCTTTGCCCTGCGATCCCTCTCCAATTCCAATGGCTGCCTTTCCTGAGGGCCACTGTGAGATATAGTCAGGACTGGACTCAAGGTGGGGACTGGGAGTACATTCAAGGCACTTTCTGCTGCTACTTCTACTTTATATTTCACATAATTCCCTAAATCCATTTCATCTCTAGGTAAGTTTAAATCCTTCTCCCATGATCTGGATTTTTAGATTTCCTCAGTGGGGATGTATGTTTGGAGGTAGGTTCTCCCCAACTCACACTTTGGGAACTCAGATTTTTGCCTGTTTTGCTGAATTTGCAGTGGTGTGCCACTTCTTTCAAAGGATCTTTGAATTCTTTTGGTTTTCCTGGTAAGTTCCTACAGTGGTTCTTGGAGCAAAAGATCACAGTGTCTCTATATGCTGTTCTGTCTGTCCATGTGGGAACTGCATGTTAGCCCTGTCTCTTATCTGCCATCTTCCCTATTTCCTGTTACCAGTTTTTTTGTTAACTTTCCAAAGATATTTTATTTGCGTATATTTACATATTTACTTCTTTGTATATATACATTTTTAACATAAATTGTAGAATATGGTACAACCACCGAGTACCTTGCTTGCCACTTGACAATTCATCATGATGGTCCTATTCCGTCAGTACATGAAAGATCATGTTGATGTTAAAAGCGAAAATTACCAAGTGGCAGCACCATTTACTAATCAGGTTTTCAGACAATATTTAAAAATCTCTTTCTGAAGGCTTATTTTTGCCTTTTTCTTAAATTGCCTTCCCCAGCATTCTCTCAGTCTTTATGTAGGGTCCTTTAGCTGAATTAATTTGGCTTCAAGGGAGGCTCACTTGTATTACTGAAAATTATCACCCCAGACCCACATTCGCATGTGCTCTATATAGCTTCTTTGTGCTTCCCCCACCTACTTCTAATACTAGTTCCCCAAGTCACTGTATTTTGCCTGATAGCTGACCTCAGATTCATACCAGTATGCATATTCTCTCCTTAGACTATTTCTTCCCAAGGTGTCCCCATTTTGAAGTGGACAAGAATTTTATCCATACTTTATTTCCCCAGGATAGCAAATTATGTGGACAGATCTGTGTTTCAGAGGTAAAACCAGTAGCTTTCTGATACATTCTGTGGATAACTATCCAGAAACATGCTATACATACATATACAAATTTCATCTGGCACTGAAAAACAAAAAACAAAAAAAAGTAAAAAATGTACTTTCGTAAAGTCAGAGAGAATCAATGTGCAGTGGTAAATGTGAAATGGCTTCCCCCAGTACTTGGTTTTAGATTCCAAATTCTCGTTTGAGACTAGAAATATCCCAACTCTGTGTTCTCAGTTTAGGTGTCCTTGCTCTTAACTATAAGGAAATGGGTTTTCTGTGATTACGTAGGGTAAAACATAAATGCTAAAAGAAATCATATACTTTCTATATGCAGGTGTTAACATTATCTGAATGAATAACATGTTTAGGTATTTATATTCTCTAAGTCAACTTATAAGGCAGATTTTATGAGGCAGTTCATCTCTAACAATACTTCTGATCTTTCAAGTTGCATATGACTTTCAAACCTGGGATTGTAAGAGAAGTAGCACATGTGGACTAAGGCACAGACTTCTTAGTCATGGTAGCCATTTTTGTCCCTTGGGAACTAACGCTGTGATTCCACACCTTATACCACCACTGGCCTTTTTGTGGGGCTATCCCTACAGTTCTGTGATTTGGCTATAACAGTAGACAGAAGGCTGGGTAGTAATGGCCAAACTAAGCATGAAGGCAACAGTTGCCAATCTGACCATTTTTAGATGATCAGTAACAGTAATTTAATTCATCAAAGCAGCTACCAGCCATCATGTTCCATAACTGAAGGGCATGGTTCAGAGACTTCATTAAGTATTAACTTTTTCACCCCTCACACAGTCTTATAAGGTACATGCTATCATAATCTTCATTTTACAATAAGATAATTGAAATGCACAGATGTCAAATAATTTGTCCTCTTGGACATAGCTACTTTGTTGAAGAGCAGAGATTTGATCCCAAGTAATCTGTCTCCAGACTGTATACTCTTGAGTAATGTGATATTCTATGTTAAATTATTTAAAAGGTATCCAGACAGCAAAATCAAAGCACATTAAAAAGGATGGTTGGAACTTTGAGTGGTTCAGCTTAAAATGAATTAGAGTAACAGAGCATTATTAACAAGAGGAAATAACTCTTCATAAGACTTTGTATAATATAAAGCAAACTTGAGTGAGGGTATGGGGCCACCTGCTCTGCCAGTTAGACAAATGCCAGATGCCACCCCAAGTCCATATAATTTATTCTGGTACACGTTCTAGAAAGACTACATACCTCTCTTGTTTTGGGGCAAAACGGCTCGGCCATTGGAATATGGCACACTCCTCTGGCACAAGAATGACTTCCATCATAGAAGGACTGTGGTCTCATAGTGGTCCTACGAAATTAAGCAAAAAAGGTTTTTGTTTGTTTTATTTTAAGGCCATCTTTCCATCTTCCAAGGGCTGGTGAGTCAGCTTTATCTAAGTCAATCTTTTGGTCTTTACTCCAGACTCAATTGCTCTGGATAAGCTGAAGACAATTTGTTTATAAAAGCTTCAGGGTGATATTCAGCTTTTTTGGCCCTGAGCTGGCAGCAACACACCGCACAACAAGAATTAGTGTCTGTGGTCTGGCAGCCGTGATGCAGTAACCACGTTGCGGTGGACGGCAGGTACAACTCAACTCTGGGCTCAGAACGGCAGGTAAAACACTTAGGAAGTCAAACGAAAATGTTTTATCATCACAGATGTGGAAAACCATATAGTGAACATATACATGTCACCATATACACATCACCCAGATTTCAACAGTTTCTGAAATTTTGTTGAACTTGCTTCCTCTGTTAGCTTTTTCACAGACACAAACCCCAGGCTTTGACTCAGAGCAGATGCAAATTTCCCCAATGTCTTAAAACAATTTTTTAAAACAGTTGTTTTATTGGTTTCAAACAAGGTACCTACCTTGCATTTAATTATCATATTTCTAAGAGTAATTCTTGCCTGTATCCTCAACTATATTTCTTAATGCCAGTGACCCACTGAAATAGCCACTTGTCCTGCTCCGTATTTAGGAATCTTTCTGTTTGCTGTCTTAGATTTTTTCTCTCCTAGCTGTCATTAATTCTAAAGTATCTTAGTTCAAGTTTTATGACAAAACAGTTTTGAATCCATGAGAGGCTAAAATTAATCTAGCACCAAGTCACCTAGAAATTTCTTGCTAGAAGTTTTTAGAACAAGCCACTTTCTCTATGCATTCAATTATTCCAAATTTGAACTGATGAATAACACAGGGAAGAGGGGACAGCACGGGAGATAAGGGTCAAGGGAAGCCACCAGGGGCAGGTAGATAACATAATGTCCTCTTCCAGGGGTGGGAGACAGCACTGAGAAATAGTTTCACTGGCTCCGTTTATACAGCTGGCATGTCTACTCGCCGAAATTAACCTGTTACTTCCAGTCCACCACACACTAAACAGTGGCACTGAAGCCACCTCACTCTGAGATAAGGCTTCAGCGTTCTAGAGGAATGAAAACACCATCCAAGCTTCTCCTAACCCTGTCATATGTGCTTTAGGGGAAATGCTAAGTTAACCCCAAAGCAATTCCAGATGGAGTTGAAGAACAGGTCAAATGACTGTTTGAGCCTGTATAAACAGAGGCTTTTCTCTTTTTGAAAGATTAACCAATAAAACAATGCCACGTACTCAACTTCAGCTCTGGCTTTGTTTCAGCCTTTGATGAGTCAAGCATTAGCAACATCCCTACTTATAACTATGATATAAAATCAAAACAGGGCCACAAAAGCCTCCAGTGGCTATACTCCAACTAACTTCCACACCATAATGCCTGCATCTCATCTACCTCTGCCTATCTCCTGTCTATCCCCACCCATTTGCCTTGGAAAACCCCCCCCCACCCACCACCTTTGCTTTGAACTTTTTAACCTTAAGAATAAGATGTACTTATGTTAAGCTTCATGCAACGTTAATATGCACATGATACTTATTAACTACAGTCTTAATTTCCTCTCACAGGTGGAACATTTTGCATTTTTCCTTCTCAACAAAGCTCCCCAACTACTAGCTATGTGACTTATACCAGATTGCCCTTTTAGACTCTTCATTTTCCAATCAGTAAACATAGTATTCACCCGTCTATTTTACAAGGGTGTTAGGAAGATTGTATCAACCAAGACGTCCAGATATCCCACTGCAGCTCACAATTGTGGGTCTGGGAAAGAGACAGAATTGGAGTCAGCACCAGATGGAGCCTCACAACCCTCAACCTTGTAAGAGGCAAGCAAAGAGGGTAGCCCTGGGGAAGAAGCAAGGCCTTAAAGTCGTTTTTGGGCTATACTATCAAGATGCTAGAAGGGAAGGTACAGATGAGAAACACCTCTTACAGTTTGCCCACTTGTTTGTGGTTCTCTGCATCAACTTAAGTGTCAATATATTCCGTATTGAAACGTTTAATGATCTAAACTTAAATTCCTACAAATAGCAACATACCTGCACAGTATAACATGATGAGGCACTGTTAATGCTGAATGAAATGCTGATCAAGAGCAATGGGATTTATAATCACAGTTGAGGACAGTGGATTATGCTCCCAAAAGAAATTCTAGAATGAAATGTGTAAAATTTTAATAGCACTCCACCAGTCCTCTTTCTGAAGGTATCTATCAGAGAAATCAGAAGTTTTACAACTTAGCAAGAAGCCTGGAATAAGCCTGCTGGTCACACCCCACAAAGTGGGGACTGTTGCCCAATTGAGCCTGCCTGTTGCCTTCCAAGTTCCAGCCAAAACAGCTCTTCTATATTCGGAATCATATTTCTCCCTCATGCTGAGTTTTCTGAGTGACATGGAGAAAACACAGGAAATGTAGTTTTGCCCCTGGATTTGAATGAATTTTTGGGTGGTCTTGGGCAAATAACTCAGCTTCTTCAAGTTCTTTCTTCGTGAGGTATTAGCAACATCCCTACTGCTATGGTCCGAAGGTTTGTGTCCTCCCAAAATTCCTATGTTGAAATCCAAACTCCCAAGAGGTGATGGTATTAGGAGATGGAGCCTTTTGGAGGTGATTAAGCAGATTCTTCATGATTGGGATCAGAACCCTTATAAAAGAGACCCAAGAGAGCTAGGTCATCCTTCTACCACCATGTGAAGGTGCCATCTGTGAGAAAGTGGGTCCTCACCAGACACCAAATCTGCTGGCAACTTTTTTTGGACAGCCTCCAGAACTGAGAAATTTCTGTTGCTTAGAAGGTACTCAGTCTATGGTATTCCATTATATCAACCAGAACAGACTAAGACACACATGTACGCCCTTGCTTAAGTATAAAAACAAGGCTGCAAAAACCTCCAGTGGCTACCTCCCAATAGACTATGATATAATAACATGTCCACTTTAGATTTCAAATATGCACCCCCCAAAGATGTCCATATGCTAACCCTTAGAACCTATGAATATTACTTTAGATAGCAAAGGGGAACTAACATAGCAAATGGAATTAAGGTTGCTAACAAGCTGATCTTAAAATGGAAAGGTTATTCTGGATTAACTAGGTAGATGGCATGTATTCACATGGGTCCTCACATGTGCAAGACGGAGGCAGAAGTCAATATCATCATGATGAGAGGTGAGGACTCCATTGCCACTGCTGGCTTTGTAGATGAATGAGAGCAATAAGCCAAGGAATGTGAGTGGCAAAGGGCAGGGAAATTGATTCTCCCCTAAGTCTCCAGAAAGGAATGCAGTCTTGCTGACAACTTTTTTAAATTCAGTGAGACCCACAATACACTCCTAACCTACAGAAATAAAAGATAAGGTCTGCCCCTTACTCTTGCGTTAACCAGTAAAGGCAAGGGGACTAATTTTTATCTGCCCATTAGCTTGGGATCCTACTGGAAAACATGGATTTCAGGAACTGACTGACCTACTGGTTTTACCACTCATTAGCTGTGTACCTCTGGGAAAGTCACTCTCATCTCTCTGCACCTCAGTTACATCAGTTTCCTTAAATTTAAGGGAGTAATCTCACTTACCTTATAAAGTCCCCGTCACGAACTGAATAAGACAACATGAAGCACGTACTTGGCACTAGTCACTATCATTTATGGAAAATATGCTTCTGCACGTTTCTTCTGCCAACCCAAAAGAATGACATTTTGATGGGCCTCAAGTCAAGGGTACCCAACAAATTGCTTGAGGCTGTCAAGCAGGGATATGTGATAAGAAAAGTCAGTAGACAAAAAAAAAATGCCTATGGAAGAGTAAAGGAGACGAAATAATGTGTGTTGCCAAGAGAAATGAGCTCAAGACAGTCAAAGAGAGAACAGTGGCACCTTCAGACAAAGAAAAGGAGAAAAGCAGCCTAGAAATAGATTGACTAGTAGGTTGTTTCTTGAATCAAGATTCTTACATTGGCTTAAAGACAGCTGTTAGTTAATATCTTTCCTTTGAGGAAATGTGGTGTTGCAAACAAGCTGAGGACAAACACCCATCCCCCAGCAGAAGCAAACACAATCATCGACTTCTGAGGAGCTCTCAGAATATGGTCTGTATCCACAACAAGACCCAACATGCAGAATCCTGAGTCAATTAATTTACTGGCAGAGCAGAATAATGGCTGCTCATAAGGAAGATGGTTTAGGAGAAGTGAATCTACCCATCATTTAGAATATATCCCAAGAATCAAACAGCAGCGTGAATGGGCAGTTCTGTTAGAAAAATTCTGACAGAAACAACATCAGACTAAGAAGCAGAACAAGTCTGTCTTAATAACCAGAAGGAAGTCAGGCTCACACAGGTAATTCTAGCACTTTCGGAGGCCAATGTGGGTGGATCCTTTGAGTTTAGACATTCAAGACCAGCCTGGGTAACAGCAAAATCCTGTCTCTACAAAAACATATGAAAAATTAGTTGAGTGTAGTGTCACACGTTTGTAGTCCCAGCTACTTGGGAGGCTTAGGTGTCAAGATCACCTGAGCCCGGGAAGTCAAGGCTGCAGTGAGCTGTAATGCCAGTGTATTCCAGTTTGGGTAACATAGTGAGATCTTGTCTCAAAAAAAAAAAAAAGAAGAAAGTGAAAAGTTATGAATTTAGATCAACATCATTAAGATCCTCCTACTGCTCTGATATCAAGAGTGCTCCTAAATGCTCATGGTGGCATAAAAAAGGAAAAAAACCAGTGGATGTTTATATCCCAGCCAGGTAAGGCTGCTTAATAAACAGGGACCATAGTTTTCCCTTATTTTCTATTATATTTAATGAGATCATGCTAAACAGTGTACAAGAATAAAAATTCTAGCTCTACATAGGTGGTGACAATACTCTCTTTGGGCTTCAGTTTTCTCACCTTTTGTAAAAGGGAAGGATAAGGTAGATAGAAGATGT